GATCCCACTCCACATTTACGGTCCCATAACATAATAATCACCACCGGGATGCGATCTGTTTTGAACTTTGTTTAATATCTGTTGACACACCATACGACTTTAATATCCATTCACTAACATAAGCTTGTCTAATCAAGGCAAGCACACATCCTTAACAATAACATAACTGATAAGATTTTTAAGATAGGTAAGTCACGCATCCAATGGGCCTGTCTGGAAGTCACGAACATAAAGTATAGACTCAAATAATAATAAAAAATATATATCTGAAAAGGTACTCAGAGGAGTAAAACCTTATTCGACACCCTTCGATGTATCGTCACTTGTATGGAACGCAGATAAGGATGAAAAATAAGTATGCATTCAATTTCAATGATTTTCCTGCTTTGGTCTTTTTTGTCCGATGGGGAAGTGCTTTTGATACTTTAATCGCCTTATATACCACCTGACTAAACAGTGGCTTTTTTTCTCAGGCGTTTGCGGAAATTCTGGATCGCAAATTAATTCCAGTATTATAACTTAGAGTATTCTCTTGAAACTGTCTGATACAAGGGTAATTTTATATTGGACGCATAAGTCAGATAGGCTGCAGCAGAAGTCAAGCACTACCAGTTCAAAGACATGAAGCTCTGTTCAGAGTCTGCGCTTGGTCTAGTACACGTACTCATGAAGCAGATTCCCATCGTGCATATCTTTATGCAAGGAACGGGCGTTAGATCTGCTCTCTAACGTGTATGACAGTTTGTTGCCGTAATGATAGGAAGCTTAGCCTGGGAGGCAGACGTCGAAAGGAAGAGGAAGGAGAGAAAAGAGGAAGACCCATCCCCTTTCGTGCTTTCTTCTTCTCCGCTCGCTCTATTTTTGCGCCTGCCGCCTGCCCCGCAAGCTATAGGAAACTGGAATAAAATGGATTCAAAATTTTGTGAGATATTACCTCTCACCAGGAGCCCATAACCCTGCTCTCACCCCACATCCATTTAAATCAGTGTTAACCACATATCAATTATTGCAATTAACCACTCAAATCCAAGAAGCGTTCGGTATTTTATATTCACGTCTTTTTATCGGATACTGTACAGTACCGCAAATGATCCCCAACCGCAAATGATCCCGAGACCGCAAATGATCCCCAAAATGGACTGCAAATGATCCTCGACCGCAAGTGATCCCCAAAGTCGACCGAAAATGATCCCGAAAGAAAAACAGGAATGACTTGGACTCAAGTTAGCGGATCATCGTGTCGATTTTATTATTATTACAATAAGTCAGGTTAAAAGCTAAATTTTACTTCTCAAATAAATATATGAATAAAAACTAAATGAAAAAAAAAAAAAAAAACATTAAGAGCAAAAACGAAGTCGGTAGGCAACAAACGACTTTTACCTCATGCTAAAATGCTCTTGTTCCAATGACTTTTTTCCGGTTTTGGCGGGTAGATTATACCTCTGAGGAAAACGTTTTGACTGAGCAAATGTGATTTTTGCCGCTTATTTCATACTGAGAGGTCATGACACGCATTTTCTGCGGTTATTGTTGTTTCTGGTCGGCATGATTTGCCCTTTGGTGCAAGAGCATTTCCTTTGACCTCTTTTGAAATGCAGTGCTCTTCATTGCCGCTAAATAAGGAATTAGGTTGTTTAATTTTGTCCTAAGTGCCTCCTGGATCCGAATAATCATAAGCGATTTTCTTTTAGTCCGTGAATGTGGCGGTTTCTTACGATGTTTTGTCACGCGATAACTACCCAGGGGCACCCAATGGATCTGTTCCTCGAAATATCTGTTCTTCAGGCACATTTTTGCTGGCTGGGAGATGTGGAAGAAATAATAGTCCTTGGAAAGAAAGTGTTGCTGGGAAAAAGATAATTCAGGGTGTCAGAGGGGATTTGAAGTCTAGAATAGCTGCTACGGGTTACTTGTATGGGTTACTTACCACTCAAGATCTGAATTGTTCCCTATGAAACTTCCCAGTAAGTCAGGTTGCAGGTTGTAAGATTGCTGGCTGGGAACTCTTCCATCAGTCTTGCTGGGAGTGAGGAACAGATAATTTTTTTTCCAGCAATCTCCCAAAATGCTTAAAATAGTCTCAAAAAACTTTAGTCACGCTTTGTTGTTGTTTTTAGGTCTTTTTCTCAAAATTTCCCGTTGGGTGCCCCTGACTACCGCTTACCTGGCTTTGCGTTTCTCATTACCAGGTTTAGATTCCTGGTAACTGTCTTCAGCAAAGCACAACAAATGAATATACATAAAAACGCTAATATAACTATTCACAACACGTTCATGAGATGTAAGAAAGTTGCTATTTCGAAATAAACCGAAACCTGTGGAAATTGATAAGTTCGGGGGCATTTTGACTTGTGTTTATGTTAAATCATGTCTTGTTTCGTAACGGGCACCTAAGTTACGAACAAATGTCTTGCTGTTTATCACGTAAAAAAAAATGAAAATCAAAATGAAATATTTTGGCTGATTAATTTCACGCTTTTAAAAAGATCAGTAAAGTCAATAAAGCTCTTGTTAGGTAGAGGGTGCCCCCAGGGGCCCCACTCGCATATTTGAATGACGGGGGGGGGTCCGACAGAGGTTCATATTTTATACCCAAAAAAATCCCAACTTCAGAATTTGTCTACCCAAAAAAATCCCTACTTTTTTTAGCATACCCAAAAAAATCCCTCAGTGTTTTTGCATCAGCAAATTTTATTATTTATCTTCTGAAAAGCTAAAACATGCCAACTTCAACTTTGGTTTTGGTCAAAAACAAAACTATAAATTGCGCTTATGTTATTTTTGATTTGAGCTGATTAAAAATACAATACCCAAAAAAATCCCTCTGTTGTTTTCGCGACCCAAAAAAATCCTGGCGTCTTTCATAGACCCAAAAAAATCCCTTTTGGCCAAAATGTCAGACCCAAAAAAATCCTTCGGACCCCCCCGTCATTAAAATATGTGAGTGGGGCCCCTGGGAGGGTGCCCGGCTTTGTATTCCTCAGTAGAAGTTGAGCTTCTAGGCGTTAAAATAATTTTTCTGCGTAACGTCCTGCCTGTCTTAAATTTTTCAAAAGACGAAACATTCTTGAAAGAAAATTGAAGCAATCGACGAAGGAAGAAGTATTCGGTTAATACCATACCTTTTCAGATTTATTCCATTTTTTCTTTTCGCCTTGTATAAATTGACCTGAGATGTAGCGTCCTCCTTCCCTTTTTCTTTAAAAGGCGAGAGAAAAAGGTTTCTTTTTTATAATCAGGCCTTTTTTGTAATCAGTCCCATAAAATCCATCCCATTCTTCAAGTTTTCACGGGATCATTTGCGGTCGACTTTAGGGATCACTTGCGGTCGAGGATCATTTGCGGTCCATTTTGGGGATCATTTGCGGTCTCGGGATCATTTGCGGTTGGGGATCATTTGCGGTACTGTACAGCTCGCCTCTTTATATGTTAATGTTTGTACGCCGCAAGCTATAATCAAACGGTTAGCATCGAGTGAAGTACAATTGTTTCTTTACAAAAATTAAATGAAGAAAAACTTTTGTCCAACGTTACTATGTAGCACAAAAAAGGAAGAGCAAGATGATTTTTATTCAGTGACACAGACGGCGCGGAGGAAAAAAATCCGCGTACTTCTAACAGTAGTCGAAGATTTGTCACATGAACCTAGTTTTGTGTTCTTAGCTCCTACAAGCTTGCTACGGATTTCCTATAGCTCAGTGGTAGAGCATCTGCAGTAGTAACCAGTAGGTCAGAGGTTCGACTCCTGTTGGGAATACTCGGATGTTTTCTTCCGAGGCGCCTGTGTCACTAACTGAGAGAAGATCTTTCTCATTAATTTTGTTAACCAGTCTTAAAATTCACCATCACTTTTCTATTAAATAAGAAAAAAAAACAGATCAGGGTAGGCTTTGAACACACGTCATACGCTTTGTAATCTATATCGATATCCACTATACCATCAGGGACTAGGTGCCAGATTCTCTATTTTTAATATGATGTGTATAATACGTTTATGCCTTGTCCCTTTACACTATTTGCAAGCTATTTAAGAAAATGGCGACATATTAGATTATCAAATGATAATTTGCCTTGTAACAATTAACATTTGCTCTTGGTAACATATATTATGAAATATTAATCTATCTCTTCAGTGGTGGTAGGAAGCAAGAGTCGCAGATGCGTAGTGTAATTTGAACATTTTCATTAATTTAAATGACGACTCAACTATAATTTGTCTTTCTCTTGTTGATATACTTATTAAATGTTAATCTCTCTCTTCGTTGGTGGTAGGAACTGCACGAATATCAGATGGCCCGTATGAATAATTTAAAAATTGCCCCCCTCAAACAAACAAGAAAAACTCAAACAAGATAAAAACAAAACAGAATACTAATCAATAAAATTTTAGATAGATTGGCTAGCTTATGGACAAATATACTACATTAAGAGCTTGGACTGTTCACCATACCATTTTTTATTGGTACGGACTCTTGCTAAACTTATGGCGAAGCCTGGAAATTCAAGATAATTAATTTTTTCGACACGTTTTTCCCGCTTTCCTTAATTTCTTGATATCACCAACAATAAATGAAGGGGTTTAACATAGAATTCAGAAAAACTAACAAAACTGCAACCATCTCAGCCATTATAATCGCCGTTGTTGGTCCACTAGCTGTTATCAATATCATCAAGCACAAGTAGCGAAAATAACATGCAAGAAAAACAACGTACACAATGAGAGCGTTAAAAACTGACTTTCTTTCCCGGAGCAACTCGGTTGTCCGAGTATTTGAAAGCCGCAGCTGACAGTGTATCTGATTCTGGTGTTTTTTAACAACTCTATAAATATGAGTATATACGACAGTTGTCAAAAGAAGTCCGACAATTTGAACTAACGCAACTACCAGCTCATTGTTGTTATGAAGAGAAACGTATACCGACGAAGTTATGCCACTAGTTAGCCATACAGAAACCAGAGCAATAATAACTCGGTTTGAGGTGACAAGCTCTTGGTATCGGAGATGAAGAGAGATAGCAAGAAGTCTGTCCACAGCGATAGCGATTATAGTAAAACATGAAGTACCAGCCAAAAAGAAAATGGCGAAATAACAAATTGTTAGCACTGTCGGACAGAGGAAGTCATAGTTTTTGTTTCCGTTCACTTCTGTTCGTATGACTCCGGTGATGACTCCGAGCATTAGCTGCGAAATTACTCCCACCAAAAGATCCGAAAAAGCGAGACTGAGCAATAACTTCTTTACATTAGCTGGAATCGATGAGGCGTTCCAAAGGGCACAAATTACAAGGATATTTCCAAGAGACGTCACCAAAGCGAAAATCAGGTTTAACACGCAGAACGTCAAAATAAAAGCTCCGTGATGATTTGGAACTTGTGCTAGCTTTTCCGACTCCTGATTACAAAACTGAGTAGCCATAACGGAGAAAAAGAATTGCAAATTTAACGTCAAGTGTTTGACCTCCCAGGATGCTGACGAAGATTCCTGATGCGATAATTAAGGCTATAATCACACTATACCGAATGGCTTTTGCGCCTCCACAGAAACCATACCCCCGGCATAGTAAATCGAACCCAATCGAACTAAATTTCAATCGAACTCAATCGAACTCAATAGAACTCAATCGGTGGATTGAGTTCGATTGAGTTCGGCAATCGAACGAAATCAAACTCACCGAAAAGAAAAAAAAATCAATCGAACCCAATCGAACGTTTGATTTTCGAACTCGTGATTTATGTAAAACAGACGTTGAAAATCCATTACCAGATGTTAGAAGCTCGAGTTACTTCAGCCCTGAGTGTAGCGTACGTGTTTTTCGTAAACGAAGTAATTCCGCAGAAATGGCTTCAGATGCGTTGTGGATCGTAAGCTTCAAATGTATAGTCAAAGGCTACCAGGAATGCCGCTTTGACGTCAAGGATGGCGAAGTTTTCAGGGTTTGTTCTGTTCTGTTCTCTTAACTGCCGTGGTGAATAAATAGTAAAAAAAGCGCAAGAAAAACTTGCTTTGACGGGCTTGCTTTGGGCTTGCTTTGTATAGGTTCACCAGAGCCAATCGAACGAAATCCATTTAATTGTGTTCGATTGAGTTCGGTTTCCGAACTCAGTCGAACACAATCAGACGGATTGAGTTCGATTGAGTTCGATTTGTTCGATTGAATTCGATTTGTTCAGAAATCGAACTCACTGAAAGTGTGGTGTTCGATTTCGTTCGATTGCCGAACTCAATCGAACTCAATCCACTGATTGAGTTCGATTGAGTTCGATTTTCGAACGTTCGATTTACTATGCCGGGCATACCAGATGGAACAGCAAGTGGTAACATTACGAGTATGCGCGATCCGCTGGACAGAAGTTTGTGGTGGTATTGGATCGCAGCGAATGCAGCAAAGAAAAATGGCGCCTCTTTTAAAAATTATCATCGTCGACCATCGTCTTAGTCATCTGTTCTATCTTTGTGGAGTGCAGATAACACAAAGTCTTTTTTGTAAAATGCGAGATTGGTCTCAAGGCTAATAAGGCGCAGATCATTCACAATTTTGCGCGGTTTGTGGTCCATGAGTGATTATTGTTTCGTGTTTTGGCTTGCGCGCGGACACGTCAAGCTTCGATGGGGTTCTGTGTAACAGCTGCAAAACTCCTTTATTAAAACACTGGATAACTGGGAAAAAATCTCTTCATGTAAGTTGTGACCGAGTACAAAACGTCCGACGCTTAAGATTTCTGAATAAAACGCTGTGAAAAAAAATTCTAAATGCTAGTCTGTTTATATAGTCATAATTGCAGTTCTTGCGACAATCTCCTTGCAATAATACGAATTCACGTCAGTTATGGTTCAGGAACGCCCTGTTGTTCAGAGATGTGCAACCTTAGTGCAGTGATTCTGCCATTGATTACTTTTCAGAGATACCCTATCCTAACCACCAGTGTCCAGACCAGGTGCAGTGCCCTAATTCTGCGACTGATAAAATTTCAAAGATATCCCACCCAAGGCTATGAAATTGTATGTTTCCATTTTTGACTAGATGACCCAAACTCTAGAAATGACATCTATTAAATGTATGTGATGCCTTGACTTATTCAGGGGTGTAGGCAGAATTTTGTAATATGGAGGCTCTAGAATCCAAGATGCCCGGCCTTATACCTCTAAAATAAAGAATTAGATGAGCCAAAACAGGAGTGTGGTACAAGATGTTTCATATTACAGATGTGTTTTACTGAGGTAATCCTAACCATGAAAAATCCTTCCCTTTATTTCCCACACTTCTACATACTAGAAAATTGCAAATATGCACACAACAGTGAAAATACTTAAAATAGTAAAGATCAAAGTCATATCTAAAACTGCATTTTCTCCCTGAGATATTGAAGTGGATTTTCTCCGTCCATATGCTTGCACTCATTTTTGCTTTTCATAAATTTTGTTGTTGGTATGTTCTACTGCACATGTGTTAATTATTTAATATATAGCTAATAAGGCTTAGCTCCCTTGACTAGCCCATATCTATTTGGGGCCAAGTTCTTATGATTTGAAGATTAAAAATTAAAAATGAGAGAAAATTAGCTCTAACTTTTCCTTTTCATTTAATTTCAACATGAGGAGAACTTAAGGATCTTAAAGCCAGATATTTATGAAGTCTAAGTTTATGGTAGCTTCAAGTGAGCCAATTTATGACTCAATAAAATTAAAGCTTGTCTGTGTGTCTTCTGGGGCACCAAGGCTATTTGATGCAGTTCAGTATGGAGTGACAGACTCTTCATATTCTGCAGACAGCATAGGGTTAAATAAAAAACAGATAGTCGCCATTTTGTACCAGCTCTGCTACGGCTTGCGTGAAAAGTGCAACTGGTTTGATTGTGACGATGCACTTGTCCTCAATGACTATCACCAGAATCAACAAGGTTTTGTGCTGAGCATCTCATAAGGAGCTCCTGCAACAGGCAAAAGGCAAATGAAATTTTCCATAACTTGTCATCTTGCAACACCAGGAGCATCAATTGCAACTTGTGCAGCCTATGATAGATGACTATATACACTACTACTGTGTATACACAGCCAAACTGACGTTGGCAAGCCAAGTGCTCCTAAATTAATGTGCACAAACACTGAATATATGAGACCCAGAGTATCAAAAGAATTATTTCTATCGGAGAGTGAAAAGTTACCCCTATGGCATTTTGTTGTTGCCCACAACTAGCGATACCCCTTTAGATATTCAGGATTTCTAAAGTGTGATGGATACCAATTTATATTCAAGAAGGAAAGAAATCTTTTGGATAGAAAAGGAATAATAACATTTATGATTTTTGTAAGCGTACAAATACATTGTATGTGATGGAGCTAATTCTTATGTGGATGCCAATGCAAGGAATCACATTCAGGGATTTCATGTCCAGTGTAGTCCGTGCTTCAAACAGGAATGGCAGTCCGGCAAGTGCAAAGCTGAACAAGGGAAAGAATTGTTTTGAGCTTGAACTTGTGCTAGTGTCAAAGTGGGAGTAATATCGTAATGGTCACATGAAAATGCATTAAATCACACTTATCATATTTTATAGGAGGGCAGGGAAAAGAATGCACATATGTGTATTTTCATATTTTATATTGATTTCAGTTATGTTTCAAGGCATTATGTAAACATTTTAAGCATAGCATTAACATTCTTTTAGGCGCCAATTTTATATGTATAAACAAATCATCATAGAATAATTATCAGAATAAAATCATCTTCCAAAATGGTGAGGGTTCTTGTCAATGAATCTGGGAGCTTACAGTGCATGATTATTAAAACGCAAATTCATCAGTGTTTCCCCCCTTGGATGCAAAATCAAACATTCAAGAATGAAAGAGTGTTCCGAAACAATGCTTTTACAAATAAGTTTTGTTGGGATATACGTTTACATGTTCACGAAAAATCTGAAAACAAGCTTGAAAAGAACAAGAAAAATTTGTCCATCTTAAACGAAATTTTAGCAAATAATATTTCACAATCCACCGCCCCGATCTCTTAATCTCCGAGAATAAGTAATCGCCAGAGAGCACCAATGTAAACCAGAAAAGCAAATTTTCGAAAATGGAAGGAAACATCCGACTACGGCCTTACTTGTAAGAGTAGGAAATTTGCTTGTTGATTTCATGCCGCTAAACAGTATCAAAATACTCGAACTTCCCCCCTTTGAATTACCCATTAAAAGTGAAAATACGGAGTGACCGAAAGAGAAGTTTAAACTGTTTAGTCGCTTGTGTGGGATATATAACTGGATCTCGCTGTACGGTCAGGGTCTAATACTACAAAAATACGGGGGTTACATAAATTACGTTGAATCCAGGCTGCTATAATTTTAACACATAACATTCGATGATGCTACTCCACATTTCACAAAGTAAATCAAGGGGTATGTCTTACCTAAATGCTAGGCAGCTCTGCAGATCATGGACGATGACCCAGAAATCAGTGACCGCTTTAATGTCAACAAATCAACATATCACAACAAACGACCTGGTGAACGCTTTATCTGCTTCATCAGAGGAGCCAAATGGATGAAAATTAACCAGCTAAATGGTCCTTCTCCCATACATGACACTTCAACATGGCTTAGCCAAAGCATCCAATCTATAATACATGTCTGCTATTGACTGGGTATGTAAAAAAATCTCCCTTGAAAGTGCTTCAGGACAGCTTTCGGCCATTACGATTTCCTGTCAACAAGTGCTTCCCAGCAAGCTTGACGCATGCGTAAACGTTACCACTTGCTGTTACCAGATGGGGGTTTTTCTCCAACACCGTAATTTCGGCGCGAGTTGTGTAACGGGGCGAAGCCGCGCCGTGCCGATCTCTTAAGTGTCACATATCGGATAGGTGTTCATACTGCTGATGCTACACCGGATAAGTTTTCATGTCGGCACGAAAAGCTGTCCACGGTTTAGTTAGTATTCCGTCAATCTTTGTGCTCCAAAAATGCATTTAGTGCCTCTTCACTATTTCTAATAATACGTCAACTTCAATGTGTTCCCTGGGACAGCCAGAAAATTCGAGTTCGGCAAGGCAGTAGCACGACGTTTGAAACGGGCCTAAATCAGATTGCCTAAAAAACTCATTTGAAATAGCAGCACTGCCATGAGTACATGACACGATTAAGGTCGCGAACACGAACCCCTTTTGATGAATAAAGTCATAACTCAAAGTTTCTCTTGTGTCTCATGTTATCATGCTTTTATCTCGGTTGTTTTTGAGGCTTCTGAGTGGCGATTGAGCTCAAATTTTAAAGTGCAAATTGACGAGTCGTTTAGTTGGAAGGATGATTTTCAAGTTAAGGCAGTCTTATGAACCCCATTACGGCATAACAATTTGAGAG